GGAAATGAAACACGCCGAAACTCTAAACATTAAAACTTAGCTACTTATTAACTGCCCCATCACTTCCTGTTGGAGAGAAGTTTTAATACGTTGGCTAAAATGGAATCGGGAGAATAACAATGGATTTGAGTTACATTTTGTACTAGGTTTTATTATAAGACTCTATAAATCACAATAATATCTCAAGGCAAGTACTATACTGGCTTCAAAAACATGGTTAGTTATGGTAGCTGAATGATAACTATAAGCTTTCTGTGTGATTAAGAAGTCCTTCCCAAATAGTAAAAAGGCATGCTTTTGTTAAGGAAAGGAAGAGGTAGAGCTTATCCCAATGAAATCGTTAGGTTACATTGCCAAACATCACTTACATGTAGTACCAATAAAATGAGTTTCTACACAGGAACCTCCCCCCCACACACACACTAATAGCTAAACTGAGGTTGATCAGAAACTAGTTAGTGAACTTTAGCTGAGAACAACATATGCTCATACATAACTAGAGGGCTGGAAAGGACTTCAAAGATGACCTAGCTGTCACCTTATTTCATGAACAAGGAAGGTAAAGCTCATGGAGGCCAAGAGGCCTCCCCACTGTACAGAGTTCACTTCTTCCAGGCAGAGCTGGCCGGGACAGTCTAGGCCCTAGGCCAGTCTCCCACTGATTCCCGACTTTCAGTGAAACGTGATTAATGAAGTCACAATTCATTTACATTTATGTTCCTATATCGTATTCAGTTTTTTTATTTCTTGGCGGGAAGGTGGGGAGGTGTGACACAGGAAGGTACCGTGATGCGGTAACTCTCCTCCCCCAGCCTCTGTCAGTCAGGATGACAGGTGTATGTGGGCACTCCCAGTGGGCGCAAGTCCACCTGGGATCTGAATCCAGGCCTACCCTGTGGCTCCAGGATCACGGCATTTCCCTACCACCTATATCTGTGTGGCTAGGCCCTCAGATTCTGTTTATTGGTTTTGTTTTTTTGTTTGTTTTTTGCCACAGGGTGTGCATACTCGCTGAAGAGACAGAGAGAAACAGTGAGAGGAAGAGTGAGAAATTACCCCCCATTTTGGGCACATGCACCAGGCACAAGTTTCAAGCCACAAGGTCCAGGACTCAAACCATGGTCAGCCATGTGGGAGCCCAGCATCTAATCACCATAGTACCTGCTGGCCCCAGCCCTCCAGTTCTTTATGACTCAGCCCTAGATGTGGATTTCCTGTTCAGAAGACAGGATCAGCAGCCCTGAGAACTGAGCACCTCTGTGACTTCTTCCCCTTCCCTCCTCACTCTAACCCCTTGTAGCAAGTGAGATCCCTGGTCTGACAGCTGAGAAAAGGTGGTACGGAAAGGAACCGGCAGGTGGAATGGAAGTTAAGGCACTGGATCCCACGTGACCAACAGCAGGGTTCACATTGTGGAACCAGTGGCTCGAAAATCACACCAGGCATGTGTGTGTACATATCCAAAATTCCAAGAGGAAACTGGAGGACAAGGAATTGTGGAACTGCCATTCCCCCCACCCCAGGTGGGGGGTGACTTCTCACTTTCCCTCTCACTGTCTCTGTCTCTCTATGGCAAGCACATGTGCCCTACAAGAAAAACTTAAAAAACAAACAAACAAAAACCAACAAGAGCGGCTGGTCATCTGTGAGGCCGGTTCTGCCCCAGCTGCCTGCCACAGAGCCGGACTCTCTCTGCGTGTGATCCTGTACAGAGCAGGCTCCCCCAGCCCGTCAATTTCACAGTCACATGCAAATGGCTTGGCTACCTAATTTTACCAACTCACCGAAATTGACCTGAAATGATTTAAGTGGTTATGTACATAATGTGATACAACAGGAATATAACTGGTATCATGAGAGAAAGGGGATCCATATATTTAACTTGTTTTAATTTAAACAATATGAACACAAGAACACTAGGTAACTAGTAAATAGTTTTCTACCACGAAATGATTTTAACAATAAAGAATAAAGACAACATATGCACTTCAGTAAGTCTAGCAACAGTGTCATAGACTAAAAAGGTTACAGAAGTGAAACTTAAAAGTTTTCACCCTCATAAATATAAGTAGTTTAGAATATTGATTTGGGGTGCTAGCAGGTGGCATGGTGGTTAAGGTAGTGGACTCCCATGTGGCCAACTGTGGTTTGAGTCCTGGATCTGGCAGCTTGTGTACTCCCTTTCCTTCTCTCTCAGTCTCTCTCTGGTGAGCTCGTGTGCCCTATAGCAACTTAAATAATAATAATAAAAACAATAAATTAAATTAATTTAATAATTCTATTTTTGTTTTTAAGTATATTGATTTGGTTTCCAGGTTCTTTCTCTCGCAAATCTATGGCTAACCATCTCCACCTGGCCTCCCAATATCAAATAATCCTCCGTCTCATCAACTTTCTTGAAGGTTCACATTTTAGAGAGGTGAAGGTTTGAGTCCCTGTATACAAACGAACTAAGAAAAGGACATTTAATGTTGTTATATAAACTTCTTTCTTCATTTATTAGGATCTTTTAGGCTAACCAAAGCCTAGGAGATTCGCATTGGAAGAAGTTACTCTTTCCAATTTCCTGCCTCTCCGTGGATGGGCCCATGAGGTCCTGGCTATGAGCGAGCCCACATTAGAATCCATGATTCTCTGCGACCTAAATGCGAACCAGCTTTGCCACTGCAGGAAT